CCTCCCCCTCCCCACCCCATCACCTGACCCACAAACCTTAAACACACCTGTATAAACACTATTAAGCAACCTCAAACCATCACACCAGCCCAGGATTAGCCAATGTAGTTGGACACTGGTGTGAGCGGTACACATCGCCGTTCGAAAAGCATGTTAACTTTAAAAATCCCTGCCCCTATCCGTGGGATTTTCTATAGGCCTAGCACTTCTCCTTGAAATATCAGGATTGAAGGTACGGCCTTGAGTTTTGCTGTTTGGAGTTTGGGATTCTTTTTTGTGGAATTTTTGTATGTTTTGGGGAAGGGGGAAATTGGGGTGGTAAGCGAGGCTTGGCTTGGCTTGGGGTGGGTGAATTTTTGATGTTGATTGATGTGTGTATGAGGACGAGAGGGGAGAGAGCTTTTTTTTGTCCAAACTCTTTTTGGTGCTATGGTAGTGTTTTATTAGCTTGTCACTTTTGCTCATCAAGAAAGCCTTCCCAAAAAAAAAGAACCCCAGAATGACAAATCCTTTCCCAGGTCCAACACAAAAACCACGACTCAGAAACAACGAATCCAACCTTCACATTCGACAACAAGACACAAATCGACACTAAATACCCCTTCCAAAAGTAATAAATAGCAACCAACCATGCCCCAGTGTAACGTTTATAAGATTCATTTTACCGATATAGGAGGAACGTAGTAATTTTAAACGTTTGATTTTTTGAGCAGGATTTCCAATAACATGTTTGACATCTCATAATTTCATTATCACGATTCTTAAAGTCTTTCTATCTGTCCGGGTATAGGTCTTCGTCATGCACGGAGCCGTTGGATTCGAGTGAATTCCTGTGCAAGTAGTATCTACCATTTCGTTTAGTATTCTTTGAAGACGGGCTTTATTGAAATATTTTTCTCGCTTATTATTATATAACTTGGCCTCTGATAACATATAAAGATACAAGTCGCAGAGTGGTTAACCCTTATTAAGGTGTGAAGTCTGGAAATTTGTAAGCGGTAGTAAAGATAGGATAGTAGGTGGATAGGATATAGACTAACGCCAAGCCTAGGAATATTAGGATCCAACGAAATGTTCGTTCCAGAGTGCTAGTGCTTCCTAAGCTGAAGTAGCGAATCCGTCGGCTGCTTCGATGCCCAGATATGCGATCAAATTCGGATACATTCGTGGACGAGGAGGTGCTGAATATCATGTACCATAATAGTGGATCTCTCCACTCATCTAATCTCATGTATCTATATAAGTAGGGGAGTATTCCCCCAAGGGATACTCCTCAAGCAATACAATACGGGTTCCACTCACTATACCTTTCAACAGGAGGAGATCTAGTTATGGCCTTGTGATAGATGACAAGAGAGGGTTTACAATAGCTCGAGACACTCCTCTGGCCTTGACTTCCTGTCACCTTATCCTTTCCCTCATACTCCGTCTCTTTACCCCCCCCCATAATAGAAGAAA